ACATTGGTAGACATACATTTTGTTACTGAGACTGGGTCGTGTGCCCCGAAAATTTTATGTTATTACTTACAATTTGTTTTACGCTGTAAAAAAAAAAAAAAAAAGAAAAATCCCAATAATTTTAAATTGTCGGAGCAATTCTACTTTGTTTTAATGCGTTGATACGAATTGAGATAAACGTATCGTTGTGTTTCGTAATGACTTGCACTTTAAATGGTGTTTTCTTCATCTTTCATTGTGTCACCTATTGTTGCTCCAGCGAAGTTCAAAAAGAAAGAAAGAAAAAAAAAAGGAGAAGTACAAAAAAAGACGAGAAAGCAACAGTGTCATGTCCTTGAGCAACCGCAAGACTCGGAAGAACAAATTTTATCCAAGGGAAGAGGGTGTATTCCTTCTACCTGGGAAAGTGAAGCCACCCCGATTCTGCATTAGAATGTGATTTGTTTGTTACTTTCCTCTTTAGGGAACCTGTGGTCGAGCGTTGTGACACGTTAAAAAGCTTGTATGAACAAACAAAAATTAATAAGCAAGCCACCGATTGGCTTCTTTGATCTCAATTTTTGTCTTTTTGTTTTTGTGTATTGAAGTGCACTCGAGATAGGAGCTCCTTCAGTCGTCCTGCCTCCGTAATAAGCTTTATACTTTAAATATTTTCATGTGTGAGGTGAGCTCCGAGCGAGCACAGGCGACCAGGACAGAATGAAAGTCAGCGGGCCTGTTGCCGCAGCAACCACAACTGTAAGGTGCTCCCTGAGTCCTGACGTTTCAACGTTGCCAAGTGTTTAACAGAAAAACTTCCAGTCCATACCCGCGAAAGTTTTTTTAATGACTTTTCGAACTGGCAAGCATTGTTATCTTTGTAGATAGTGAATGATACAGTTTAGTCGCTCTAGCTGTTTTCTTGTTCCGCCGAGCACTCGCTCTCATTGAGATTGCCTTACGAACATGTCGCGCTATCAAAACACGATTAAAAAAGAATCTGGGTTGTTTTTTTGCAGTATTTTGTTGCGGACTACGTCGAAATGCGATCGTGTTGCTTGTCTTCTATAAAGGTCTGCTTCACTATCTCTGCAAAGCATCGCTCCCTCTTTCTTTTCTGCGGAGCTGCGGAGTCCCTTTGGCACCTCGAGCACGGTCAAACCAGAGCGTCGCCGCTTCTATTCGGCCATCTCCTTTCCACTGCGCGTGTGCCTTTTGCGAGGCATTGCGAAGACTATGGCGCATTCAGGCACCATCGCCGGACCTCCCTTCCATCACGTGACCGTGCACTCTGCTCGTCGGAACGGGCGGGAGCGAGATCACGTGGCAAAAAGTAGACCGACGACTAGTCTATCAAGCTCGTAGCTTCCGCGGCGCTGTCAGCTTAGGGGTGAACGGAGCACAGTCCCGCGACCCGCGCAAGCGCGCGCGATAAGAGGAGGAGGACGGCAGATGTACCTTAATGTCCCTCGCATGAACATTCGTTAAATGTAAAGACCGATTTTTTTTTTCTCAAGGGGTACGACTTAAACGAGAGCTGCCGCATTTTTCAGAAAACATAAAACTAAGTGAAAGTTCGCTGTCGGCAGACATAAAATGTGGCCGCTCCGTATTCCCCAGCGAAGCTTCCAGACTCGAACCAGACTTTGTTTTCGAAACCGTGACAGCGGAACCGCCTAGCGAATTGCGTCCTATCGGTTACGACGACTCGTATCGATGCTGCAGTTTCGTGGCAAAGCGGCGCGCTTCGGTCGCATCTGTCGCTAAACCATCCAGCGTGTTCCCCTTCTGCCTCACAAACGACTCGGGCGTGCGTAGCGACGTCTCGTCGGTCCGGAGCGCCCGCGCTGCTGCTAGTTATGCGCACGGGCCAGACTAACCCGCCGGAGGAGCACCCGTCCGTCAATACGACCTCTTATCCTAATGGACGGGCGGCCAGCCTTCTTTGTGACCACGGACGCAAGACTTGAGGTGGGAGACGGCTACGAAGGGTCAGTCGCCCCGCCGATTGACTTCGGACCGCCGGTTGGCTCGCGTAAAGAGTCAGCGAGATGGTGCTCGACGTCCGGGTCTCGAGAACGGAGATTTGGCCGCGAACGGTTGTACTATATCACTCTAAAAAGAAACTGTCTTTGAGTTTGCTTTCCCGCAGAACACGACATAACGATACACGACGGCGAGCAACGGGAGGATGATTCCAACGATTGACGAGGCTCAAAATACAATTCGATCAGAAAGAGCTGCGTGCCTGGTACAATGAGCACGACGTTTTACTTGCTTGTTGTCTAACCGTACTATGGTCTTGGTCATTACTGGGATCTTTCAGTTTTACGCCTTGGGTCGTTGTCTCGTACTCTGCAGAGAAACAAACTCGCATACCTTTTTTACTTTTTTTCTTTCTAGGGTGCAGTCACCGACGGCTTTTGAAACGCAGAAAGTGGTCTATTAGGCTCACGCTTTCTCTTGCTTTGCGACGCGTTCTTGGGTGTTTTTCTTTATAATTTGTTTATCATATAATGTCTATATACGCTGCGAAGCGACAATAAGATGCGTGCGGCTCACTACGCCCCGCGTACCTAAAAGTGTCGGTGACTATGAAATAATATTTATAGGCCTGATATCTGGCCCAACCTTGAAGCTTTCCGTATGACTGTTGCAGTACAATCTAAAAGCGGCCTTAGTGTAGCTTTCGTATCGTCAAGTTAACATGGCACCGCTACGAGCGCACGTAGGGACAGGCGGCATAGAAAATGTGCCGCTTTCTTGTCAGGGGGCGAGGCTCTGCTCTACCGTTGCGCTTTATTTCTCTGTGTGCTTATGTGTGCATGCGTGAGGGTTCGCGTACGTGTTTGCGTAAGTGTGTGTTCTCCGATATGTCTTAAACTGTCTTCACAACCGCATTATTGAAGGAATGAAGTTGAATTGTGGGCGTAATGCCAAACATGTAGCTTATAATTTTTCGGATCGATAGCTGCAACTTTACCTTTTGGGGGTTGACCATTAGAGCTTGGTGAATGTTAAAGACTCCCGAGATAACAATTTCAGTGCGCACTAACTTCCCTGTGTGTAGACATTGATGCAACAATTTCGATTGACTACGTTTCAGGCCACAACAAAATGAACGTGTTTCGAGGTGCCTGTAGTTATAACAAAAAATAAAATCCATTTGTCCTGGGATAAGATTGATTGGGCAACAAAAATATTTATTGTTTATTGACTGCACGTTGACTTTCCAATAAAAAATTAAATCGCGTGGTTAATCTTGCCAACAAGTACTAGATGGGCAATCGAAAGGAGCGAAACGTTGAACAACTGGTTGGATGTTGAGGTTCAGCCCCTTACACTTTGTTCCGATTTTGTTCGAGGCTTCGTGTCATGTTGACGTGCCCTCTCGTGCCCTTTAGTAAGTGGGGTTCTTTTGCTGAGAGCAAGTTTAGTGAGCTGGGGTTTAAAACGACACTACGCGGTCACAAACATTCACGTAAACATAACGTCAGTATACGACGTGATGAGACAATAACTAGCTTGTTCTTATCGCTGATGTCGAAAAACCTTGAGCGAGGGTAACCAATATTCGGAGATGCAACGGTGAGTTAAAAATAAATTACAGTAAACGCTTTATCCCGTACTTACAGCAAACTGATGATAAATGATTAGCAATGTGTCTAAAATTTTGTGCGGCTTAATGCTACAAAGAATGTCCCGCTTAAGGGACGCGGTTGCCCCGTGAGGGTCTGGCTCTGCTAAGGCAGGGTTTGACCAGACAGTAGCATACTCAATGAAAAGTTGACTATAATACGATGTCTCCGCGCGGACAGCCGGCAAAGAACATTTGTGTTTTGTTGCCGAGGTGTGACGGAATCGCCGGGAGCGTGTGTGGTCTTCGAGCCCCTTGATGTCTGTCTCTTACAAGTAGCAACAAATGCGCTTATGCACGAGGAACGTTCCTCTGTAGCCAATAACTTATTAAAATGAACCACCAAGAGACCACGTTGTTTCTCCAGCACTCGCTCGTGGCACGTGACTCGCGCTCTTGCGCAACAATGAGCGTCGGTACTTGTAAAAAACGCGAAGCGTGAAATTTATCAAGGGGCTTTATTTGGTATGTGTGCCAGCGGGTTAGCGCCACAGCACTCTTGAGGTGTAATGCCTCGATGCTGTTGCGCGACCATGTCATGTGAGTTGACTAACGCCTTTCCTCAGCAAGAGGTGAGATTGAGCTCCGCTTGGGGGGTATATAAATCACGTGTGTTGCACACGCGAACCTCTGTCAACGCTCACTCGTGCAACTGGACTCACCGGGAGTTTTGTTCTTTTATGTGCATGTAGCTTCGTAGATTTTTTTTTGTTCTGAAACCCTGCTTTGTAAAGTGAACAGACCAGAGCCTGCAACGGGTTGGGGTCTATACACTGGGGCTAGCTACTTACGCGGCCGTCAAGAAAAAAACACGTCAAAAGGTCGTCGGCGCCACAACGGTACCTGTTTCTCTAAACAACGCCCGTCCGCTACTGAAAATAGTGCGCGCACGCTCGTTCCGGTCAGTCGTCATAATTTTTGATTAAGCCGACTTCGTTCAATGTCTCAATCCACGACTCTGGCAGCATTCGTGACACCCTCTGGAGACACCTCGTGCTGGCGACGAAGGTGTCGACACCGCACAGCCACTGTTCCACGGCAGCTTCGTAGAGGCGGAGCCCTACGTCCTCCTGCCGGAGCAAAGGGTAGGTGGCGCAAGCTACCGCCCATCCCGAGGAGTGCAGCCAATACCATCCATCCACCACTAGTCCCACGCCGCGCGAGGAGGCATCAGACACGCCGGAGGTGCTGGCCGAGCCAGGAGGGAACGTAGGAACCGAAGACCACGCGACCTGCGCTGACTAGAAGACACACACACACAGAGACGCACGCGCACCGTTTCAGTGGGACACGTCCCCGGACCTCCGTATCACAGCATGAGAGAGAACACACACCGCTCCGCGGTTCCACGAACCGAAACGTCCAATTTCTTGGAGTCCTACAGGGGCTTGCGCTACGTGCAGCCGCAATCGTCCACGATCATTTTGGGCAGGTCCGACTTGATGATGTTCTGGTCGCGGTCGAAGTAGATGAGCGACATGGGCGACAGCTTGGTGGGCGCGCAGCAGGGCGCGATGGACGCGTACGGGTTGCGCTGCCGGTACTCCTCGAGCACGTGCGCGTGGAAGTAGCGGAACATGTCGGGAGTCCTAGGCGACCCCGCGCACTCGCCCATGCAGTAGTTTGCGTAGTAGCCCTTGGGCGCGATGATCCAGTCGTCCCAGCCGAGCTCCTCGAAGCTCACGTACAACGACTGCTTGCAGCACTGCGTCACCCCTTCGCCACAGGTGACGGTGTAGCGCCGTCCGCGGCGCCGGAGTCCCGCGGCTTCGGTGGCGACGGCGAGGAAAGGCCGCCGGCGCTGCCGGCGCTCGAACTGGGCCACCTGGATCGCGGACGGCCCACAGCCCACGCAGTCCACGAGCAGCGTGAGCTTCTCCGAGGACGCGAACCAGCGCTGCACCGCGGGCCGCAGGTCCACGCGGCGCCAGCCGGAGTTCGCGTGCACCTCGAGCGCCGACAGCAGGTCCATGCTGGAGCTGAGCGACGCCGAGCTGTTGGAGTCCGGCACGCGAAAGATGTACAGCGTCGCCGTGCGGTTGGGGCCGCCCGCGCTGGGCGCCGGGTGCGACTTGGCGCGCACGTAGAGCCACAGCGAGGCGGACACGACCCGTAGCCGCTGCGGAGGGCGGTCTGGGTTCTGGTGGAAGTCCAGCAGCACGTGTCCGTTCACGGTTAGCCCTGGAAACGAGAGGACGGCGTTCAAGGGGCTGCTATCACAATAGACACCGACGTTGGTCACACTCACTCTGAGTCACGGATACCGAACACCGAAGCAATCCTGGCCATTGCGTGTTATATTTACGAACCAGCGCACAGCTAGACAGCCACTCAAAAATCCAAACACACTAAACAATACGCTCGCACAGCGCTAAACTATCAACTCATAATTTCTATTTTGTCAAAGTTCCTGTTCTTCGACCCCAAGGAATCAGATGCCTGCCCAACAAGCAAGAGAAAGGAAAAGTGAACGACAATTGGCAAAGGGAGGAAAGATAAAAGACAAGGAAAAGGGAAATACAAGACAAAGAAAGGGAAAAAGAGTGGAGAATAATAATAGCATCTGCAGAGTTCAAGAGCTACAACGCCATGATCATGTCATATACATGATCATGTCGAATACATGATCATGGTGCACGAGGCAGGGTGCCTTGTGCATCGACGCACCTTGCGTTATTTTTGAAACATGAAGGGGCTTTAGATATACTCGCCTACTGTTGAAGACACCTTTTGTCTAAATAATCAAGTTCTTTTCCTATAAGGTTAACGCACCGGGCATCCCGTCGTAATATGTTATCCGCTTTTACGATTTCTCGGGTGAGCTGGTTTTTACTTTTGTCCAACACACCGCAGTTGTCCAATCGCTGAGAACAGCCTCAATCCCTACAGTGAACGTCTAAGTGACCAGAGTTAGGATTGGGTAATGTTTTCCCTGTGCTCACCCAGGCGGCCATTTAAACACCGTCCAGTCTGCCCAATGTACTCTTTTCCGCAGGAAAGGGGAAATGGATTGACCACCCCTTCAACATAGGTGACAAACTTGGATTTGTGCTTCTTTGTGCAGCTGACTGTGCTGATGGAAGAGGTGTTTACTTTTCTTCGCAAAGGTTGTGAAGTTTGCGCGGTGCTGAAAAAACTACGTTCATGTTTGCTCTGTTCGCTATTTTCATTGCGTGTCATCGTTGGCTAGTTTGCCGAATGCGTGCGTTTATTTGTTGGTGACAAGCCTGTATATAGTTGAGCACTTATGCTCACTCAGTATCGCCACCTAAGTTCTGACTGAAGCCGAATCGATAGGCACTGAGAGTATTAGAACGGCAGGGAAGTCTCACCTCCAGCGCCAACTTTCTACCTTCGATAATGCTTGGGCGTCTCGTGAGTCTTCAGCGTGCACGCGCAGCAAGAGTACGACGGAAGGCAACCAGCGAGTGCTGGAACCCGGGCGTAGAAAAGAGATGCCTTTCCTTTCTTATCCTTAAAGCGAATGTATACAATTGCCGGCATTTTGCCCCAATGAACAAGACCAGTATTCGTGCACGGCGGACGATTTCACGGCGTTTCTTGTTATTGGTCCTAAAATGATGGCTGTCAACGTGTGGATGTGCACTTTCTTTTTTTAACTATTGGCATCCTTCCCGTGTACACAAAGGCGTACTTACTCTGCTGCTTTTAGCCACTTATACTACGAGAGAACCTAAAGCTACAATAGCAAGTCCCAGGATTTAGGTGTGCCTACCAGCGCAGACGCGCTCATGCAATGCACGCGTTGTTCGGGGCAAGGTGCTCGCGCTTGTAACCTAAACTTCGCGCACACTTATGCTGAAACACAGCATACCCACAGCAGATTCGGGTTATGTTCGTGCGAAATGCGCCAGAACTGAAATGCAGAAGCCAATGGACAGTTGTGACGCTGCACGTGCCTTGTTTGCTGCAGTAAGATCGAAACCCACGTCGCATGGTTCTTCGGGTGCGAAGAGAACAACTGTACAGATCAAGCATTTTGTACTTGACCTACACTTGGCAGTCATGCGCGCAGTCCTCAAGAGTGGAACTGGGTTTAATGTTCCAACGATTTAACGCAGAGTTGCTCTAATATTGCCGTTACTGTTACCATCATGCCGGAACCTGCAGGCTGGAAACTTACCGCACAAGAACCGCACGGTCAGTGACTATTACCATCACCGTTAACACACACAAAAATATTTTTTGTGTGTGTGGTTCCGGTATTATAAAGTTTTAGTATTGCCTTTATAAGCAAACGCAAGCGCTGTGTGTTTGTGTTAGCGTTGCGTGCTCCACGCTGCGTACGCAATTCGTCGCCATGCGCCGATCCAAGACCGCAGTTTTGGCTCCGCGCACGGGCAGTGTGAAACACGCTACGCTAACGCAAAGGCACAGTGCTTGCGTTCGTTCATATACGCAATACTAAAATCACTATTAAGGTATAAGGGTAACGCTACAACGGTAACGCTATTCTAAAACATTCTATTATCCGAGTTTGTGGCATTGCGAAGGCAACAGACACGAGGTCAATGCTCCGACGCATGCTGATCCTGCCTCCTATAAAAGGCAGGATCAGGCAACACTGGAAGACGCTTCCGGTGCACAAGGTATACCTTGTGCACCGGAAGCGTCTTTCAGTGTTGCGAGATTACGCATACAACTTTGGCAAAACTAAGGACAGAAAAAAACATTATTTACTGTACATAACATAAGCCCTCGTTTACTTTGGTTGTAGAGACGAAGATTTGCTGCTTGTTATCTTTCATACTCGACTCAAAGTGACGTCTCTTCTCAATCGTGAGTTTGTCACCCCGTCTTTTCAACTAAATGCACGAACTCTCTTCTTCTCACACGGTGTACGGCACGAATGGCCGACCGTATGCACTTCATTAATCGAAACAGCCTGAGAAATCCTCTGCGCAACTAATTATGCCGAGTTTAACTATTTGGGTGTCGGCCTTATACTAATAGGCTGCTGTTGGCTGCCGCAGGAGTTCCGAAGGTACTTCAGAGTCGGGCTCAAGATACACGCGGCTAGCTTCCATCTAGTTACGCAACTAAGCTTATTTACTTATTTTAACCTGTTTTCTTTTTAGTTGTCCGTCGCTACTGACACCGTTAACCTAAATGTATAAGATCGTGGACGGCGCCCTCAAAGAAGGAGTCACAAAACCGTAGATGCAGGATTCTAAGTTTTTAAGAGCATTCGCGTTATGGAGGCAGTTTGTAGACCTACTCATTCGTGCTCCGTACCTTATCTCAATGCTTCACAGAACGTTTGAAAAGGGTAATAGTAGCCAAACGATTCTTAACTTACACTTCAGCAGAACAAAAAAGAAAAAAAGTGAGCCGACTTTAGTTTGAAGATTCCATAATAATTATGTTGTGTGTATGTTTTCCGACAGCCAGGAGTTAGTTAGCCTCAATGGGCGTCTATTGCGTCTCGGCTATAGATGAGCAATTTAGCCAGTGCAGTACAACCGCTAGCCTGGGGTTTTTAACGTGCACCACGCAGTACACGACCCGATGCTCATCCAGATCCAAACGGGCAGGGGTGGGGATTGAGCCCAGGATCCCATGGCCGTTCTTCAGCGCGAGCTATCGCTCCGCACGCACCGAGCTGGTGTGCGCGAGCCCACTCAGCCACCGATCTGAACTTTTTAAGAGCCCCTTGAAATGCATTTTTCAACGTCGCCGAAAAGTGCGAACGATAAATGGAAAACCTCCAAAAATAAGACGAACGGTCATCGACCCGTCCCGAAAAAGTAGCGTCCTTCGTATTAAAAAAGGAGCAAAAAAAAAAAAAAAAAGAAAGAAAATCATTGGAGGCACGAAACGCCACTATCTTTCGGAAATCGAGAGAAGGGATCTTGAAATTCTGAATGACGCAATCGTACACCTTTCTCCACCTGCTCGAAAAAGAAGGAAAAAAAAATATACATCGGCGGGGTCACATCGCAAGCGGTTTCGACACCGCGAACGGACGATAAAAACTTCGGGGAATAATAACACGCGCGCGAGGAACGAGAGCAGTGCCCAGGGTTCGGGCCCCTCGGTCTCGGGCTCGCGCCGCGGTGGTCGCTCCGAAGAGCCGAACAAGGAGGAGCCGGGGACCGAGCGGACGGGTCCCTGTCTCGAACGAGCGTTCAATCTCCTAATGGACTAAACAGTTTGAGAAAAAAAAACTCGGGCGGCACGCGCGGCCGAGCCGCTTGCAGCGTGTCCATTCGTCGGGCCCGCGCTCTCCATCCCCTAGCCGAGCCAAGCCGAGAAAAAGCCGCAGCCGACGAGTCTCCGTCTTCGTCCTCAGTCGACGAGACAGTCAGCCACATTTCCTTGTCTTCCTGCTTTTTTTTTTATTGTTATTGCTATTAATATTATTATTAGCTGTCTTTTCCGTTCCCGCTCTCTTATACTCGTCTTCTGTTCGTCGCACTTACTTTCCTTGTTTATTTTTACATTTTGTCTTCCCGGGACCTTTCTTTTTTATCATTTTTTTTTAAAGGAAGAGTTTTTGATGCATGTTGTCCTTTCCCGTAGGGTCTTGTGTTTCGTTCACGAATCAAACTTTTTTTATTTATTCAATCTGTCACAACTAGGGACGGTTAATAAAAGTGCTAACAAAGAATTTTTTGAACATAACTCGCGGTAAGAAGGGTCGAGTGTGCAAAAACAAAAAAAAAGTAAACACAAAAAATATACTTTTTTTTTTAATGTATGCGGTTGTTTGTGGTTGGGGCAGTCTAGGCATTCTTGGGCGGTTGCGCGTGAAAAATGCAATTTGAGTAAAGTTCTTTTTTTTTTTTCTTTTTTTGCTCAATTAAGTGATTTGTCGTTTTTTTTAGTCCTGCCGTGGTGAGAACTTCCCAAGCTGTATGGCGAGTGTAGTGTCACAACTATTTTTGGTTCGTTTTCTCATCCGACCGCTTTCGCCAGCTTTACTCCCGTTGTCAGTTTACTCAAATGGTTAGTCGGAGAGGTTCCTTTCCTTTTCCCGTAAATAATATTTTTTTTTTCATGTTTTCGGTGTTGTGAATTACTTTAGCGTAATCTTGGTTTCCCTTCCCTAGACTAGATTGTTGGGCTAGTTGGTTTTGGAATTTGGAATACATTTTAGCGCTCAAAAAACAGGGACAAAAAGGCGAGAAACAGACAGCACAGTGCGCTACTAACAACTGATTTTATTACGTGAAACGACACTTTTATACTATCCGAGTTTCTGATTTTGCTCCACCACTAGCCAACCCGGTGCCAGGCCGCGTCATTGAGGAACGCACGCTCCTTGT